TGCATGGCATGACGCTGTGATCACCGCGAAGAGCTGTGGGTTTGTTCCTTGCAGAGCCGAGCAGTTAGCCAGGCAAAGAAGACAGTGGCCCCAGCTGGCAAAGGGACAGTTCAGAAGCTGCATTGGCATTGCGTTCCCTGGTTCAAAACCTGGGCATTTCGGACTAAACAGCTGGAGCTCATAAAGTAATTTCACAGCGTGTGTACATGTGCAAAGGAAATCCTGTTTGGATAATAGACTTGCCGGACTGGCCTTTCTGCGTGTGTTTGTCCCCTGCCCATGACTTGCAGCGAGTCAGGCGTTTTGATGGCTTTCTTGCTCTTGTGCCATGCAGAGCAATTGTGAACATGTGCGCTTGAAAGCGCAAGTCTCTTGACATTGTTATGCAACCTGCCGATTGATTGACGGATTTGCCCAACGCTTTTGGAAAGTTCAAATGTGTGATGATGTGTGATGCCCAATGCCCGGGTTTCCGGTCGCTCTTTGGTTGACACGACAGACCATGCTGTTCCCCAAGTTCCCCAATCCCAACCGCTGCTGAAACTGCGAGAGAGTGTGTCCTGGACTTCGGACGCCTTTTGAGAGTGTGTTGAAGCGTGTTTGCGGGGCCTGCTGGTTTACTCACCATCAGCCCAACATGGGTTTTCCGTTTGCTTCCATGCAGATTCGCGGTGACACTGCTGTGCTGATTGGGGGGATTCGAGGGCAACAGCAGATCTGGCAATCTCTCGTTCAATCTCTTGCAAATGTTTGGTATGCAAGATGTGGCTTGAACTTTTGTGATCACATTTGGCTTTGCTTTGCTGGGAGAGTCCCGGCAGGAGACGTCCCACAGTGCAACCAGCACATGTAAAGGATTCCGCCCAAAAGCGTTCCAAACAGTGCAGACTATCCCTCACTGAAACTAGTCCTGCCAGGCCAGGCTGTAAATTTAATTGCTCCGACTCGACTTGCTTCCGACGCAAAGATCGTTTTGGAACGCTTTCGAGGCTTTTGAATGTTGAGCTTTCGTGTTCTAAGTCAATTTCGATGAAGTGAATTTTCTTCGTTAGACCTGGCAAGAACCTTCTCTAGAAGAACCATTCAGGTGAAGGACCATTTCGCTTTCAAGACAACACTTCACCCATTTTCACCCTTTGAAGGAAAAGGGACGGATGGGACATCAGGGACGGTCGGATGGCCTGTGCTTCTGAAGCAGATGATGGCAGATGGGTATTTGGGGCCACTGTTCTCTTGCAATCTCAAGTTTTTTCACCACCTTTCAGGTGAGGATTGTTAGATATACAGACCAGGAGTCACAGAGCTCGGGGTGGTGTTTGGTCCCATCCAGTGAGTGGATGGGCACCCCCAAGCCTCCTTCCTTGCTCCTTCCGCGGCCCCGGACCACAGCAGCAAGCGGCGATCGCTGTCCAGACAGTCTGGGACCTCAACACACAACCACAAGCACAGCCAACCACAAAGACACAACCACAAACACAGTCGCAAGCATAGTCACAAGCGCGCACACTCAGCACACACAACCAACAAAAACACGAGCAACTACAAACACACAACTTCAAGCACACAACCACAACCACAAACACACAACCACAAGCGCACAAGCGCAACCGCAACACACAACCACAGCACACAGCCACAACAAAATATATAACATAACCATTAAAAGTATAACTACCTGTGTGTTTGTAGCATTTTGCGCCGCAGGTGGTCGCAGGTGGTCGCGCTTTTGGATGCCAACTGGAGAGACCCAAGGACCCACACCCCGCGCGAAGTCCCTAACACTAAAATAACCCATCGCTAACCCGAGGACCCACAAGCAAAATCGAACACCACAAAATCCACGACTATGGCTATGGCAACATGCTCCTCACCATGATCATGGCATGAAAACACATGATTGAAATGTCATGGTGGGGGTCACTCGAAGTAAAGTATTTCCTTTTGCACGTTCATGTTTTTCCAGAAATCCCAAACAACATTTGGTCCACGAGTCAAGTTCTTGACAGGACAGGGTAAAATATCCACCGCGTACTTGACAGTGAGGCTGTGAGGCTCAAAAGCGGCTGCGCCTAAGAGGCAGGGCGCTGACAGATGAGGCATAGTATGAGGATGTATGAGGCATGTATAGATTTGTATAGCTTGGTTTTGCCCGACAAGATGGAAATGGGAAGGGGAACACATCGAAGGTATTGCCTGGGTCTCTCCCATCACTTGTTCGAGTCGGTCAACAGTTATCACGATTTTGGAGAACGGCCTGCAACTAAACAATCATCATCCACTGGACCGTGGTAACAGGATAAGTCCCAAGAAATTGCGTTGCGAGACAGATGATGTGGAAAAAACCTGGAGCCCGACCAGTCCACCATGTACTGGTCTGTACCCTGATGTAACCTTGTGCCATGACCCACAGCTGTGATTGAATTCTGCATCTGCGACATGCTCCAGTGCTCGGGCCGACGTCGGGTGTACCCATTCTGGGTGTGCCTCTTCCATCATGTATTCTCATCCTCCATTCTCAGCCGTTCTCCCAGACCCGCAACGAACGAAAAGATAATTTACTTCGAGTGCTCCCCACCATGACATTCCAATCGTTTGTGTTCATGCCATGGTGAGGAGCATGTTGCCGTCGTGGGCTTTGTGGTTTTCGATTTTGCTCCGGGTTGGGATCTTTTTTCCCGAGTGCGCAGCGAAGGGTTCTCGTGTAACTCTACAAAGAGTTTCCCACAAGAGTGTCCTACAAAAGTTTCCTACAAGGGAGTTTGACAAGAGTGTCCTACAAAAGTGTCTCACAAGAGAGTCCTACCCCACAAGAGTTCCATACGAGAGTGTCTCACCAGAGCGACACAAGAGTGTCCCACAAGAGTGTCC